TCGTCGTCGCACGAGGATGACGAGGACGCCACCTTCTTCAGCGCTCTGTCAGGTAATAACGGCTGTTCACTATCCGTGTCAGTGAATTATTTATTGAAAAGTTATGGTTTTAAAGCTGCAGTAGGTAACTTTTATAACTGGCTCTGATTGATTGTTTTTCGTTCTGGCCCGGTGCATTCTTGTAAATACTATTAGGAGCACTAAGAGGAGCCAGAGGAACCAGATTTTATCACAGATTATCTGTCTAATGTACTTCTGTCAGGATATATAGAAAGTTTCAACAATATGACATAAAGTTATTTTTATAAAAATTACCTACTGCAGCTTAATATGATGACACACTTTGAGGTGCGATAATCGACAATGTTCCAGCTTTATTTTCTCTCAGAATTTATGTTGTCAAAACATATTACAGCAGCCGCAAGTAAGAAAGAAGAAAGATTATTGAATTATTGAAAACTTCTTTGTGGTGGCCTTCCCAACAAACTCCATCTGTCCAAAAACTGATAACAAATGTTTGTTTTTTTAAAATAAAGAACAGATCTCAGAGCATCCTCGAACAACCTCATTCAACACAGTCCCCGCTCATCTGTGTTGCCAGTGTTTACTGAAGTTTCAGGTCCTTGCAAGTTGATTTCCAGACTGCAGTGAAATTAAAGGAGGCCGAGGGAAACTTGTGTATTTTTGAAATTGGTCCATTATTGAGTGAAAGCGCTGCATCCGGCAGCCGCAAAGCTGTAATCAGGAAATTTGGTGGTTTGTGTTCCCGTGTTTAAAAAGGTTAAGTCACACAATAACAGACCCTAGCTAACTGATCGAGATGGCGGGAGACCAGCAACTCCAGTGTTCTGCAAGGTAAAACTGTACTGTCTTTGTCAATGGAGTTTAGTGGCTTTAAACAGAGATATAGAACTGATGTTTCTGGTTAAACAAAAAGGATCTTACTCTTCATAATAAAAAGGTCGGTCTCTGTAGGAACCCGTAAGGAACAACCTGTTCAGTAGCAAAATAAGCACTTTTAGTGGACGTACATTGACGGTGCTCTCGCTCAATATTGGACCAATTTCAACAAAGGTTGTAAAAAACATTGTAAAATAGGATCCAGGTTGAAAAATACTTAAGTTTTCACTTTAAAGAATAAGTCTTGTTGGGACATGGTGGCCATCCATCAACCATCCAGAACTCCATCCATCTGGACCATCCAGTGTAGCACGGCATACATCAGTGAATAAAACTGTTAGACAATTAGTCTTCATGTATTTTTTTTGTTTCTCCTTGTGGGCATTGTTTAAGGGTGGCCGAAATACAGCTTTATGCACTTCAGCAAGCCTCTGGAGGATCCTGCATCGAGAGGTTCTTGGGACTCCAGAGGCACCAGCAGCTTCAAATACCTGTTTGCTACTCATCAGTGGCTTTTTCACAGCTGCTCTCTTAATACGATGAATTAGCCTTACAGAAACTTTCCTTGAACGACACCCGTCCTGTGCCTCTGAATCAGACAAAATCTTTTCCCAAGTGGTATATCTCTCTTAATATTTCGTGAAATATCCAGTGAATTTCATACCTATTGAAAGATGCAGCCTACTCTCACGCTTTTCATCTGCAGAAAGATCTTTTTCCAGTGACTTTGCTTAATCAATGTGGAACAACATCATTAAGTAGTTTCCTGTTAATTAGGCTCACCTGGCAAACTAATAAAGACAAACCTGTCTGAGATTGATGTCAGTGATCTAAACAGACATGGGAAGCAGCACAATTGAAAACTTTCATTGAAAAACAAAAATCTAATGTTTTTTTATTAACATATCATCATATTTGCATAATAATTTGGAACACAGTGTATATAAGTGCAGCCACTTCGTATTTAAACACATTTAAACATACAAGTACAGCATTTTTTGATATCATCTTTTATCTCAATTGCCCTCATTGCCAGTGGAAACGTATTACAACTGAATAAACAAGCTTCTCAATGACATCACCCGTGGCTCATGAGATTAAACGTAATAAGCTGCTTTAGGTTGAGAATAGAAACAATAAGAAGTGGAGCAGTCTGAGACGTACAGACAATGTGGACAGTGTGGTAAGGTAGCAGCTGCTCACAGACTGTCGGTCTGCCTGTATTCTTCGTAACTGACACCTAAAGGTCAGTTTAGCACCCACCGAGACTTGAACCAAAAAGGTAAATCAGTTGTTTATTTGGGTTTCTGAAGGCATTAGCAAAATATTATCCACTTGGTCAATATGACCCCAAGAGATCTAAGCTTTTTAACATTCATTGCAATGACATAGTAACTTACCAGCTGTAGTCTCTCATCTGCAAATTTTTCAGAGAGCATCAGATTGACTTTATTTATAGTTTTTCTAAATTTTAAGAATTAAATCTGTACCGTGTGAACTTCTTCTCTTGTTATTTGGAAATAACCAGTTTGTTTTTCTCATTAAAATGTAAGAACATAAATTGTATAAATGTTGTACTTATTAAACATTAAGATATTTTCCAGTTGTATCTATTAATAGCCAGTGTTCTTCAGACATAATTAATCGTTTTCTTTAGACCACCTGCTTAATCAGCAATCTGTTCATCTGCTGACAGTTTAGCTTTGTAAATGTGTTTGAAACATTTACTTAGATATTCTTCTGATCAGTGCTTTCCCAAGAACTGTGTTCATGTCAAGGATGTGAAAAACAATATTAGGCCATCACTGGCACAGAAAACGGTACATGTAATTGTTATTATTCGTAGAAATATTAGTATTATTGGCGTTGTCATCATTATTTACCCTCAATTGACCCATTTGCAGTGTATACACTTTGATGTAAAATTGTGGATGTTGTCTTATAGGAACCCTCATTTCCACTTTCTAGCTCATGTTCCCTTTCTTACAGTGAGAGTATAAAATATTTTCTTTTTAGTACGTGTATGCCAGAATTCACTACAAAGTGAGGTCAAGCAAGATTACATTTAAAACATCAAGTTTATTATGGTGAAACACTGTATTTTCTTTGACTTGTCTTGCAGTTAATGTGAGGCTGTGGTGGATTTAAGAATGAGCAAGAGGGGGAGGAGAAGAAACAGCAGGAGAAAGAGCTCCAGCAGCAGTAAACGTGAGTTGGAGCTTTGGACAGAGGGGAGGGTAAAGTGAGGTTAATCTTGTACTTAGCTGAGTCACATTTTTCCCACACCTGCATTCAGTTTACCTATATTTGGACTTCTTCAGACCAGTAGACTGGATACTGGGTTTTATAGAAGTTTTAAGAATTTTTAAGAAGTTAAAAGAAATTACTCAGGCTCGCCTCTGCTGTCCATGGAGCATTTGCTGTCAATCAGATAGATAGATAGATAGATTCCTAGATCATATGTCATTTGTAGTGTACAGAATCAGAACCTGTAAAATCAGACTGGGGCCTGCATGGGTGATTTTGATTGGCTGTGCCTTTAAACGCATGTATCTGTAAAACCTTTATAAATGCACCTATGAGATCAAAGCTTGTAATATAACTGTGGTCACAATACTTAATATGTATATGAAAACATTTCCATCTAAATCCCCAAATATTCCCAAGAGATAACTGCTCATCATTATTTTAATATATTTAACATAAAGGTTTTTTTTGTACTTTCAGAGAGTGTGTCACCATACATCTTTCAAAAGCAGAACAAAAGCAACAGTGTCAGCTACAAAGACGATATTGTTGAAAAGGGTGAAACAGATTCTCTTCGAAAGGAAAATGTTCTGTCAGGATCTGAAGATGAGGAGAAATACAACAATGCTCCACCAAAGGAGAAAAGATTTAAACAAGATTATTGTGTGAATTCATTTCCAAACCAAAGGAGTATTTATACAAAAACTACAGAGGACAAAGAGAAGGGAGTGAAGATAGTAACGTCAGTGTCAGTCAGTGACATGGAGGATTCATCTCAAAAGATCATGTTTCAGCAGTCACATGAACCCTTATCTGAAAATCCAACCCACTTGTCAACAGCAGTTACTAACATTATGAAGATAAACTGCTCCGGGTCACTTATGAAACTTGAAATTCAAGAAATTCTACAACTGAATACTTCTGGCATCAAGACCACATTTGTTTTCATAAATGAAAATGGGGACTGTCCAGAGAAATTTTTTAATAGCAAATGTGAGAGGACATGGATACCAAACAATGAGTCATCTGAGCAGCCACCACAACATGTAACCAATCCCAATGGAAATCAAAACACAAGTTACAGATTTACTTTTGGCAGTATGAATGAGCCAACAGAGGCACATTGTGATTCAAAATCTGTCAGTCCAACCAAAATATGGGACAATCCGAACTACTCTCAAGGCTGTAGTGATCACAAACAACTAATGTTGGGAACTCATCCACTGTTAAATATCAAACCTCAAGAGAACAGAAACCTTTTCCGTAAAAGAGTCAGTACTGATGAGTTCTGGGACATTCCTCCACCCCGAGAGTTTGCAGACATCAAATATAACACTATAGAGGATCTAACGCATGACCTGGCTTCCTGTAGAATTGGTGCTTGTAGTCCTACTGGTAAACAGCAAAGGGAATTCCATCCGACACCTAATATAAACCATAATGAAGAATCTGGATGCCCATTTCCTGTAGAAGCAGAGGAAACAGCCGATCTGTCACCTTCATTTGATCAATTATCAGAATCTGACAGCTATGAGCCCATGCTCATGATACCCTCCTTGTCTACTAACAGGTCCAGCTTCACCAAAGATTTCATCAACTACCAAAAGAGGAAATCTTGGATTAGAAACAATAGCATTGGCACTGTAGAACACAGAGCATGTTCATTACCAAAGAAAAGACGCCAAACATTTCCTGGGATGTCAAAGAGTCTAGGATTAATGCAAGAGGATCTCCTGCTGTCCTATAGTGAATCGTTTTCTTCTTTGATCATGGGCTCGCTTCCTCTCCAAACTGACAGACTGGGAAATATTCAACAGGGCAATGACCGGTTTTCTACATTTGGAATAGGAAATTACAATTCTTCACAAAGCAAGGGGAGTTCTAAACCTGTCCCAGAAATCCCAAACATGCGTGATGGAAAGCAATCATTGCTCAGTCCATCCTATATGACCAGCTCTGAGGATAATCCTGATGATGTGTTCTCTGTCATCGAACAATGTCGAAGACGAAGCAGCATCAGACACCATTGTAAAGATCTCAGACAACAAGACATAAAACAGAATGTTTGTAAGGACATGGAAAGTTTGGACACTGATGATGGATATAAAGTTGATCAAACTGAAGTAGCAGACAGTGGATTTGACCAAGAAATAGGGGAAGTAGAATATCACAGTCCAGAGCCCCTTACAGAGGGGCTCTGTCGAAGAGCCCTCTCTATACAAGTCATCCCTCCATCTTGCAGTGGCTCAGAGGAGCAAATGATACGGAGCCATCCTGTAATATTATTCCAGAACAATATGGTTGAAAATGCAAGCCAAGAGGATTCAGTCTCAGTTTTACCCGAACATAGTAAGTCCTGTTTGAAAAAACCCTGCATGTCCCCTTTGCAGGACATGAATGCTCATTCATTTAACAAAAATGAAATTACAGAAGAGACTGAAACTAAACCATCTGGTGAAAAAACAGGAAATACCGGCCATTCTCCGTCACTGATTGAGGATTCTAACAAACCTGCAGTCACTGCATCATGTCCTGCCAAAGATTCTACAGACACAGAAATCCACTTAAAAGACAGTAAAATTGACAAGGCAGATAAACTGATTGTATCCAGATGTAAGTCACAGTAGTGTTTGTGAGATGCTTTCAAATAAATATTGAACAGCTACTTTCAGGTAAATATTTACATAAAACTCACCTATTGACGGTTTATCACCATTTCCAGCTTCCTTAGATGCCAAAGAGCACCTGAAGCCTGTGGTTCATAAAGATGCAGACACCAGTGGCTCTGACCACTGGGCCAAGAGGCGAAAGCTCTTCAAGGAGAGCAAGCAGTGGAGCTCTGCTGGAGGAAGCTCAATTACCAGTGACATTACAGAGGAATCAGGTAACTTTAGGGCTGAGCCCCAATTTGAACCCAGGTAAAGTAGACATACTACATTCATTCAAGAACAGTACCATTTTGGCAAATCTGTAGCACTTACAATCACTACTCACTTATAGAGGGTGCTACCACCTGATTGGATAGATTTTATCTATCTGTGTCTATCCCACAGTAGAGTAATACATTTTGTTTGTCAGTATTACAGTACTTGGTCTTTTGTATTCAATTAAAAGTAATCTATCCAGGGAAGGAAGACAGCAGATAAAGAAGAAATTAGCAGAGGAGGCTGAATTCATTGTGGAGTTATATAGTGTAATGATAATAATAGCGCCATAATATCCAGATCAGTATTGGCCTGTCCGGTTGAAGCACTCGCATTCTAAACTACAGAAAAACCTTGAACCGTTATGGATAATGGTCAAAATGTCTACTCGTACTAAATAGGCTGAGGTAAGTTGGAGGGGAGGAGATGCTGTTCATGTCCACAATAGAATCACCTTACAAATTGATTGCTATAGCTTAAAAAAACGTAAAAGTCAGCACTGATCTCAGGGTACCAAGGCACAATCTAAATCAGTGTTTGCATTTTTTGTTAGGTATAATGTTAATAATGGAAATATATTCATAAATATTGCATATATACCTTGCTGTTGCGCTCCTATTAGATGACAATACCAGCAGTGCCCCAAAGCCAATTTGAGTTT